CCAGGGCTTCTGCAGGCCAGGGAGGTCGCCACCGCCGCGCTAGTCCCCCAGATTATTTTAAATATGTTTTAATATATATTTTTGTTTAATACTTTTTTAATGGGTGGTTGGGTTTCGAGATTTTTGACTGTGTTTATATTGTATTGTAACATATTTGTATGGTAATTTTAATGTTGTAAGCTGCCCTGATTGCTCTGCAGAGGGGCGGGATATAAATAAATAAATAAATATTATTATTATTATTATTATTATTATTATTATTATTATTATTATTAGAAATGGTGTGGGGGAAAGTGAAACTGACAGATTTCACACCTGCTTTAAATGCACACTTGTAAAAATCCATGTATATGGTGTTGAGTTAGAGTTGCCACTTCTTTTTTTATGGCAGATTCTTCACCTTTAATTTAGCAAGCAGGTAGCAGCAACAATGGGAACCACCCTACCTCAAAATGTTGGGGTGAATTCTTATTTCCCGCTTGGACCATGAACCACTGATAACAGGTACACAACATGTTTGCTTTTTTTCTGAGAACGTTGACCAATACAGATGTCTGAGAATGTCAAAACCCAGGTTTGAAAATCACTTCTCAAAATGCACAAATTTCTTCATAAATGTGATGGAAAGAACATGCCATGAAGGGTTCCCCCCCCCCAAAAAAAAATAGACATTTATCATGCCATCTCCCTTCCCACTTGCTTGCTGAATTTTTGGGAGCTTCAGATGATCTCATCTTCCACTCTTTTTTGGGAGCTTCAGATGATCTCATAATCCTCCCTTCTCTTTTCTCTATTATTTCTATTTATTTTTATTATTATTATGGAAAAACCCATTAAGGAATGAATGACAGAATAGCATTATAGTACCTTCTAACTAACTCTGGGGAGTCCTCCTAGTTAGTGTACAGTTTATGTCTTGTCACTTACAGTGAAAGCAAGAGATGGACAAGAACATGTGAACTTGGTTTGTACTAAAAAGGAAAATCTGTGGCTGTTCCAACATTACTAAGTCTTCTACCTTGTGGACTTTCTAACATAAGGGTGTATAAAGACAAGATGCTGCTACCAATCTTTCTGCCTTTCCATGTGAAGGGGACTGTTGTCTGCTCTCTCCTTGTGCCCTAAAGTCCCATCTGCTCTTTCACACTTTTAAGTAAGTGACAGTGATAAGGAGGATTTGAGATCAACAGAAGTGATATCACGGGAGTAGGTGGATGGTGATATCAGAGACAGAGAGAGAGCACCTCTGGGATGCCATATGGAAAAGAGAGTTGAAGGTCAGAAATCACTGAAAGAGTGTATTGTTCATGATGAGAAAGGCAGTTTCAACACAGCAAGATATGTTCTCAAGAAAATGGTCACACCACGGTTGTAAATGGGATTTGCTTCCAGGTAGGGATATAAATTTCCACATCTATATTTCACACATGCAAGAATTATAGTTTCAATAGTTTTCTCCCTGCTAAGCAAGATAATAAGAGTTTGTGTGCATTGTCCAATGATTCTTCTCCACTTTTAAAATTTTTATAAAAGACAAATTTGTTTGAGAAAAGCACTTGAGCAAAAATGGTGTTTTTGTGCAAAAAACGAGTTCCTTGCTCAGAATATGGTGAATTTTGGAGAAATGAATTTTTCACGCAAAAAAAGTCCTGGGATTTGAAATTTGAAAGTGGTTGACTATTTTCAGGACAGGGTCTCTGAATGTGGTGAGATCCCCTTTCTCTTCAAGGATTAAAAAAATGTGTGAGTATTCTTTTACATCCCTTTTTGTTGTGTGCCTTAAAGTAATTTCTGACTTATGGCAACTCTAAGGCACATCTATCACATGGTTTCCTGGATCTGAGAGTGTGTGACTTGCCCAAGGTCACCCAATGAGAGAGGATTTAAACCCTTAAACCATAATCTCTATTCAAACATTCAAACCACTACACCAACTAACTCTGTTCCATTGCTACTCCCAGGAAATTAAAATATTTTAGATTTATTTAAACCAACAAAGAAAGGTGCTTTTGAAATTTATGTTTGACCCTGTATAAATTTGTTTTGAAGGCCAACAGCCTATGGTAGAAAGAAAAGTTTGCATGCCCCAAGCAGAGAGGAAATAATCTACCATTCTGGAGCATTTGCTCTACTGAACAGAACAAAAAGAGAGCCGTGGAGAATAAGGGAAGCAATGTATAGCCTGTTGCATAATCACTGAGACCACAATATCAGCCTAACGTGTTATTTGACGAATTATTAATAGCAAGAAATAAGGAAGTTACAATGAATGGATAAACAGGAGGAAAAATTCAGAAACTAGTGGCACTCTGAGGGCCAGCATAGTGGTCTGAGTGTTGGACTATAGCTCTGAAGAGCAGGGTTTAGATCCTCTCTCAGCCATCGAAACTCATTTGGTGACCTTGGGTGAATCATACACTTGCAGCCCCAGAAAACCCATTATAGGTTTACCTTAGGGTCACCATAAGTTGGAAATGACTTGAAGGTGCTCAACACAAGGAGGTGACACTCTGGATGAATGGCCCCAGTGGGAAAACTTACAGACTAGTGGTCCAATACAAGAAGCAGAAATGTTATCTTTACCTCCCCATGATGCCTGCTGCTACCAAGTGGGTCTGCTCTTTTTAAAGAGTTCTCCCCCATGAATGTGCACACACACACGTACCTTTGCATCCTTCCTGACATGGAAGGAAGAGAAAATGAAAATGGTGGACACAATGGTAGTTCCAACAACCCCCACTTGCATCTGCGAGAAAAGGAAGAAATCCTTCCTCCTTGGCATGGAAGAGCTGCAACAGCCACTGGCAAGTTCCTTGTTCTCACATAGAATCATAGAGTTGGAAGAGACCACAAGGACCATCCATTGCCATGTTGCAATACACAATGAAGGCCCTCTCAACAGATGGCCATCTAGGCTCTGTTTAAAAACTTCCAAAGAAGGAGACTCCACTATAGTAGGAGGCAGTGTATTCCATTGTCAAACAGTTTGTTATTGTTATTATTATTATTATTATTTATATCCCACCTCTCTGCGTAACACAATCGGGGTGGCTTACAACATTAAAACATACATTCCATATCCCATTATCCCACCCACCCCTTAAAATACTATTAAACAATTGACAATTTAAAACACACTTAAAATAATAACACAATAAACAATAACTGCAACAAAATCAGGGACAGCAAGTTGGGCTTATCAGGAGGTTTCTCCTAAAGTTAAGGCAGAATCTCTTTTGCTGTAGCTTGGATTCATTGCTCTGTGTCCAAGTCTGTGGAGCAGCACAAAGCAAGCTTGCTTCATCTTCAATATGACATCCCTTCAAACAATTAAACATGGCTATCATGTCATTTCTAAATGTTCTCTCCTCCAGGCTATACCTATTCAGCTCCCCTAAGCCACCCCTCATAAAGCATGGTTTTCAGACCTTTCACCATTTTGGTCCACCAAAATGGTGACCTCTCCTCTTCCTCCATCCATGCCAGGGACCAGGGGATCAGGCAGGCAATGTGTGGCACCTTGAATTGGCTGGCAGCCTAGGAGCCGGTCCCTACGACCAACCTAGCTACCTGCCTGAATGGCCCTTAGACAATTGCAGTTGACAGCAATATTTTTGTACCTGGTTGTTATGGACAGCTTTTGATTCACCAAGCCAGAGATAATTTGAAAACACATTTGTGCAGTTCCAAGAGATGGCTTATCTTGGAAGCAAATGTATTTTCTTCTGTCCACTTCTACCACATTGAAATTGAGTTTCTCCTTGGTGGGTTCCAGTTTGCAGGATGGGTCAACTGAGCGTAGCACTTGCTCAAGTCATACCTAAGGAATGGCCACTAGAATCAAAGCAATGGTCAGTGACACAATACCAGTAGCAGAGAACCAAGGAGAACCCATGTAGTATAGTGGTTTGAACATTGGACTATGATTCTAGAGACCAGGGTTCACATTCCCACTTGGTCATGCAAACCCACTGGGTGACCTTGGGCAAGTTATTCTCTCTCATCCTCAGAGGAAGCAAAGGCAAATTCACTTTGAACAAATCTTGCCAAGAAAACATGACAATAGGTTCACTTTAGGGCTGCCATTAAGTCAGAAATGAGTTGAAGGCACACAGCAACAAACAAGGGGCCTTCCAGATGTTGTTGGCCTATATACCTCCCATCAGCCATAACCAGACAGCCATTCTCATCCATGATTTATAAGCTAACAATTATGAGCCATTTATTTAAAAGAATTTATTGTGACAATTATGCACAAGTGAAAAAGAGATACTTCTGACCTTCTAACAGTTTGCTGCAAAAACAGAGATGCCAACTCTCATTGTTTATTTATCATCATGGTGAAGTTGACTGATCAGTTGATTTATTTGAATTTATTTATTTTATGACTGTATTCTTCATACTTCTTTTAACGAGTCTTGGATTCAGTCTTGATTGAAGAATTTTGTTTCCACACTGATTCTGGTAATGAAAGAGATGTCTTGAAAGGGCTATAGACATCTCTTTGGTGTAGTTCTTAATACTGGGCTTCAGAGCTAGTTTAAGATGGAGTTTACTTTCATGGGCAGTGCATAGTCCAGGCATTGTCTCTGGTTATGCATTGCATTGTACTGTTGTTATTGTTTGTCTGCCATTATATCAGATGTGATTCTCTTGCCCTCTCACCCTCCCTCCTTCCCTCTCGCTTTCTTTTCTTTTCTTTTGTCTTTTCTTTCTTTCTTTCTTTGGCTTTTATTCCTCTCCAATGTGCCACCTAGATAGTAAACAGGCATGGCATAAAGCTGGTTTACTCTCAAAGCTGCTTATTTTGGTGATTCACCATTGTATCTCTTCTGTACTGATGGATAAATATGCCAATTTCACTTCCTCTAGCATGCAGTTAAAAATGAATCAATTAGAAAATTGAGAATGTGGCTAAATTCACATCAGAAATGAGCAAAATTGTTTGAGTGTTGCACCACAACTCTGCAGACCAGCATTCGATTCTGAACTCAGCCATAAAACCCACTGGGTGACCTTGTGCATGTCACATGCTCTCAGCCTCAGGGGAAGGCAAACCTTTTCTGAATAAGCCTTGCCAAGAAAACCCTATGTCTTTGAATGTAACCAGTTAGAAGTAACCACTTGCACATAACTAGTGGCTGTTGTTGTGTGCCTTCAAGTTGTTTGCAATTTATGGTGACCCTAAGGCAAACCTATCACACAGTTTTCTTGACAAGATTTCTCAGTGTGCTTTCTCTGAGGCTGAGAGAGTGTGATGTGCCCAAGGTCACCAGTGGGTTTCCATGGCTGAGTTGGAATTTGAAACCTGGTCTCCAGAATTATCTTATGACACTCAAGCCTCTACACCATGTTGGCTCTCTAATATTCCTGATGTAGCTGGTGGCAACTACTTGTGAAATGAGGGTGCCATGAAACCACCTCTGAAAAATAATGTAACTTGTGAGAGTAATGCTTTCCTGTTGCTTTCAGCAGTTACTCTTCAAGGGTATTGTAGAGGAATTTTGACAAGTTTTTCACAAGGTTTCTCCAATCCTTTTATCAACGGTGTTTTTTGTCTGTCCAAAAAGTAACACAAGGTAATGGAAAAGTAGCAAATAGAGAAACAAGCAACATGCCTTGCTTTCCAAACATTATAATATTACAACAAAGTAACAAACATATATGTATTTGTATTTTATGGCCAGCATGCTATCCCAGCTACTTGGTTAGGTATTAGCTAAGTTAATACTAAATATTAGTTAAGTATATTTAACTAAGTAAACTCTTCTGGCCTGAATCCTCTAACCTTGATAAAAATGTCATCGATTCCTGCTCCCGTCACTAGCAGAATAGACCTCCTTTGCCCCCTGATGCTCAGTGAAGTAAGGTTTTGGAGAAGTTACTTTCATGGCAATAGTGGCACAATTGTGTCTAAGCAGAGATCATGAATATGGATATCTAGATTTGATGTTGATGATGATGTGTGCCTTTCTGGCTACCCTAAGGCAATCTTATCACATTTTTGGGGTAGGCTGGATTTTTTCAGAAGCGCTTTCCTCTGAGGCTGAGAGAGTGTGGCTTGACCAAGGTCACCCAATAGGTTCCCATGGCCAAGCAGGGATTTGAAGCCTGGTCTCCAGAGTTGTAGTCCAAATTTTATTTATTCATTTATTTATGGAATTTATATCCGGCCTTTCTCCAAAATGGGATTGCATGATGGTCCAAAATTCAAACTACTGCATGAGTGCTACTTAATCTCAATTGTGACAAGGGTCCAAATCACACTGCAGAAATAATCCAGGTTGCGATGGCTTTAACTGCCCTCAATGCTAAGGAATTATGGGAACAGTAGTTTTGTGAGACACTTAGCCTTCTCTATCAGAGAGCTCTGGTGCCACAATAAACTACAATTCCCAGGATTCCCTAGCACTGGGCCAGGGCAGTTAAAGCGGTCTCAAACTGGATTATTTCTGCAGTGTGTTTTGGACCACTATTGCCACAATCAGAACTCCCTCACCTACTTTATTAGCCATGCTGGTATACTTAAGCATCCTTAAATAGTTGATACAGAATACTCTATCGCTTCTTAATCTATCTGGAAATAGCTTCCTGGTTAAACCAATGGTTAATTATGACTATCATGAAAGCATTACACTGATTGTTATACTAATACTTGACCCTTATTTATAGCTAATGAAACTGATGATACATTAATCTGTAAATAAAAATGACATTATTCAGATCAATATTTTTGGAACTCTCTGCTAATAATAATAATAATAATAATAATAATAATAATAATAATAATTTATATCCCGCTTAAATGAAAACAATCTAAGTGGCTAACATCAGTTAAAACCCCATACAACAAAATTCATACCCCAACCCACCCCTCTTAAAACAGTATTAAATGACAAGATAATTAAAACAGGAATATAAACATTCCAATACAGATAAAAATTGTATGAATTGGAATAGCATTTCAATAGTGAAGCCTGCATGTTATCATTGGGTGGCGGCATTATTATTGTTATTATTTCCTTTATTCGTATACAGTACTACCTTTTACATAGTTGGCGATAGCAATGCCTATTGAATTTGGCCAGAGTAAATGGGAAGAATTTTGTTCCACTGTGGATGCCATTGCAGGCAAATGTCTTAATATTCATGACAATGAGAAGGTGAGGTTTTCGAACAACAACAAGAAACCACTGAATGTGGGAGAGAAAAACTGACAGATTTCCCCATCTGTAAGCAAGGCAAACTGTCTATGGTGTATTAATGAAATCTCAGGCAGATGAGATGTCTTCTTCATCTGAATTAACAGGCAGCCCTTGTTTTGCAGCTTAGAAGGGAGATGGGTCAGCCAGTCTAAATATTCATGATTGGTGAGCAAAGGATCAATTCTTTCCTTTCCTAAGAGAAACAAGCTCTACTTCAAGATCGATCAGGAATTTCCTCGAGCTGGGAAGAAGGCGAGTCCCATAATATTTATTTTTCAAATGGATCACAGGGACTGGGGTTAATACACATGTCAGTGGAACATGTAAGGAAGTCTAGTGTAACCTGTTACTTTCATATATTTTTCCAGTTTGCTAATGCAGCTACACTGTTCTGTAGAAATAATGCAGCTTGACACCACTTTAAATGCAGCAGCTCCGTCCTATGGAATCCTAGGATTTGTAGTTTCACAAGGTCTTCAGCTTTCTCTGCCAAAGAGTACTGGTGCCTCACAGAACTACAAATCCCAGGATTCAGTAGGATGGAACCATGGCCATTAAAGTGGTGTCAAACTCCATTTCTACAGTGTGGATGCACCCTTAGACTTCCAGTGTCAAAACCCCCTTTACACCATCAAGGAACCGAAAGAGATGAAAATCTGGGCTTTGAGTCATTTTGAATTCTGCTTGGCCATGAAACCCACTGGGTGACCTTGGGGGGAAGTCACACTTTCTCAGCCTCAGAGGATGGCAATGACAAATTCCTCCCCCCCCCCCCAAAAAAAAAGAAACTTACCAAGAAAACCCTTTAATAAATTCAGCTTAGGGTTTCCATACGTTGGAAAGGACTTGAAGGCACACAACAATAACACACCTCGGGGGTATTGGCTACCTCTCCTAATTCGGTGTCATCTGTAAATTTGATAAGCATGCCCTCTATTCTTTCGTCCAAGTCATTGATAAAGAGGTTGAATAGCACTGGGCCCAGGTCAGATCCTTGTGGCACCCCACTGGTCATTTCTCTCCAAGACGAAGAAGAGCCATTGCTGAACACCCTATAGATTGATTGATTGATTGATTGATTGATTGATTTTAAATAGTTCCAGGGTCCTTGCAAACTATTTAAAAGTGTCTCTGGGAAAGGGATTTACTTTGGCCAGAAAAAAAGGATAGTCTGGGACTATGGACCCTACAAAAAAATAATAATCCTTTGAAGCCCACATGTGGCCCAAGGGATGCACTTTGTCAAAATAGTAGGAATCCTTATAAAAGCAGATGGAGAACCTTTGTACCTCCAGATGTTCTGGCCTGCGACTCCCATCTGCCTCACCCAGTTTGGGCCAATGGTAAGGAATGTTGGGATTTACTGCCCAAAATATCTGGAAAGGACACCGTTTGTGACGTCTGAGTTAGAGGTCGGTTCTCCATAGGGGGAGAGTTGGGGAAAAGTTCCATATTTTTCTGGTGACAACTCCAAGAATTCATCACTAGTGAAAGGCGGTGTGAGCACTGTGGTCCGAAACATCTGGAAGAGACGGCTCATCTGTCTCAGTACCAAAAGGGAAGGTGGGAGCCACCTTGGCCTCATCGGCCCTGCAGAAACAATCCGGTTTGATACCACTTCCACTGCCATGGCTAGGGAATCCGCTCTGGTGCCGCAACAAACTACAACTCCCAGCACTCCGTAGCATATGGAAGTGGTGTCAAACCAGATTATTTCTACAGTACGCCTCCAGCCTGTGTCACAAACTTTCAGCCT